GTCCAGGCAACTGGCTGTTTCTGTCAACTCACAAATTTTTTGGAAGTTGCTTGCATGCACTTTCTGTTTTCATTTTTGTTAGCTAATATTATTTCCTTCTTGGGTCTCTGAGGGAGTTGAAGATTAGTTAGCTATAGTTGAAGGTTAGTTAGTTATAGTTAAAGATTAATTAGGATAGAAAGTGAATTAGGTACATTTTGGACTTAACAAAATAGGATAGATAATGAAATTATTTTCTCTGAATTTGTCAAATACAAATGGACTAGACATTGTTTAGACATTTATTACTTGTATATATTGTATATAGTCATTGTACTTTTGCATATAGTTTTTCTTCTGTTAGTTATAACTTTTTTCTTTTTTTTCCTTTTTATTAAAATAGAAAAGGGGAAATGTGGTGGTATTTTACTTGTACTGAAATGTGATTTTAATTGTATGTTAATAAATAAAGTTGTCTGGGGGTCAGAGCTATTAGAGCCATAGCAAGTGTGTGGCAGCGGTGGCGCACGCCTTTAAGGACCTGGAGGGCGGTACATACAGGCAGTGACGAGGCAGTCACGTGTTTGGGTTTACAACCAATGAGAAGGCAGAACAGCTAGACTATATAAAGACATACACACAGGAAGTAGGTCCCTTTCGGAGAGCTCTCTTGGCTGAAGAGGATCCCTGAATCAGGAAGGGTGAGGCTCTTAGCTCTGACCTCTTGACTTTCTTCTCTGAATCGGCTCTGTGTTTCTTATTTAATAAGATGGTTGGTTACATCTACACAGGGGTTTACAGAAAGCAGAGCAAAGAATGAGTCCAGGAGGGGAGAATGGAGAGAGTGTTAGGAAATGCAGCTGTCACTTTCCTGTTGTGACACAATACCATGGTCAGGGAACCTGTAGAAGGGAGAGTTCCTTTGGTCTAAGTTTTCCAGAGTGACAAGAGGCCATCCCGGCAGGGAGGCATGGCAGCAGGCAGCAGGCTAGGAAGTGGGAGAGGAAGCTGAATGCTCACATCCTCATGTGACAGTGCAAAGCAGAGAGGGAAGAGGAAGCAGGACTGTAAGCTAAATCCACAAGAGTCTGTTTAAAGGGTATCAGAGTTTTATTAAGATATGAATAAATGAGACAGTTGATTGGCTTGATCTGTTTGGGAGGCATCTAGTCAGTGGGACCGGGACCTGTCCTCAGTGCATGAGCTGGCTGTTTGGAACCTGGGGCTTATTCAGGGACACTTGGCTGGGCCTGGGAGGAGGGGACTGGACCTGCCTGGACTGAATCTACCAAGTTGAACTCAATCCCCAGGGGAGTCTTTGCCCTGGAGGAGAAGGGAATGGGGGATGGGCTGGGGGGAGGGCGGGGGGGGCGGGAGGGGGAAGAACAAGAGAATCCGTGGCCAATATGTAAAACTAAATTAAATTATATAAAAAAAAGATGTGAAATGGGGAAATACATTCACAAATACAGGATGTGGTAAATCCCGTTGCAGAGTTCTTGGAAAGCTTTATGCTGCCTGACCCAGTCTTTACCACACAAGGGAGTATGACACCCTCCTCCCCCCCCCCCGCTTCTCTCCCCTTTCATGAGGTCACATAGGCAGACAAGAAGCACTGCCTATATTGGGCCAGATAGCCCAAGGTCAAATACCACTATGCTTCCCCTTTTTGTCTAAATAAGAAGGTTCTAAACCTAATACAAAACCATATACAATAAGAAAAGTTATCAAATATTGTCCAGGAGAAAGAATAATAACATAAACAAAAATGAAACTACACCAACAAGAACAACATCAAGCAAGAAACACATACTAAATGTCTAGACCACAGGTAAATGGCAAATTACAGAGATTATACCAACAGCTGTCCTAATCCTGAAGAATCTAAATCTAGCCAAGATATGAGAGGAATGAAATTGTAACCATCTACTCTTCAACCCTGTCAAAGACCTAAGAAGGAAAATAGTATTACCTGAGTAAGCAGGAAGTACAAGCAAGCAACTTCTGAAAAATGCAAGAAATGGCAGAGACAGTCGGCTGTCTGGACAGTCACCCAATGTTTCTCTGCAATATTGGGGCATCCACTTTTGACTACAGGCCTAGAATATCTGACAGACCATTTTCAGAAACAGGAAATTTTGAAAGACTGTCTTACCCTGTCTTGGCAAGGTTCAGCAGTCACTTTCCTTATGTCTTATTTGTCCAGAATGGACAGTGTGCTTACTGTCAGCAGTAGAGGCAAGGGCAGTGCTATGCCCAACAGGCCATTTTTGCCAAGAAGACAAATTCCATATGGAGTGTCTTCAATGCCCAACATCCTCTCTGGAGTAGATCAGTGATGCCAGGAGCAACTGTGTCTCACATCAACAACATTCTAAGTTACTAAAACATTTAAATGCCATATACTCTAGGTCTATGAAGTGTCTGAAGATTACCTATCCATCTGAAATATATATCTATGTATCTCAAAGGCCTAACTAACATGACTGTAAGTATGACAAGAGTGGGTGACTATTGATCTGTAATTCTTATCAACCTAAATAGGTTAAAGACTAAGATTTCACATTATGAAAATAAATAATCAGTAAACAGATGTACAGTACAAGGACAATGACCTTGAATTTATAACAATATACAAAATATCTTAATCAGAGGTAGAAATATATAGTTCAATATGATAACAATATCCTTAATATATATCAATACACAAAATATCCTAAACAGAAGTAGAACACACATACAGTATGACAAGTATAATTTATATTTGTATCAATATACAAAGATATTTTAAATAGGAGTAGAAACATATGTACAATGTGACAAGTAAAGTTTCATATTTTTATCAATATACAAATTATCTTAAACAGAAGTAGAAACGTAATTTTACATTTTTATCCATATAGAAAAATCCATACCAATGCAAATTATCTAAAGCTGATAGTTACAAAATTAGTTTACAAGTATCTACCTTATTATTCTATCCTATCTATCCCCCCTTTTTTTCAAAAGAGATTCCTGAGTCTAAACTTTATTGTTCCACCCCAACCCTATTAGAACTTATAACCAACCCCTAATAGATGACAATTATCCATAATCCTGAGAAAACAAAACCTGTTGGGAGAGGGAGAGGGGCTGGCCCCTCCTGCATTCTGCTGCCCAAGCCACGGACCCAGAGCCCACGCTAACCCATGAGCCAAAATGTTCCAGATCCCACCCTCGGCCTCCCTGGTACCCACCGGGGAAGCCTGCTTTGCAGTGTGAGCTCAGTGACCTTTGGCCCACCTGCCCTTGCCCAGCTCTGAACAGGCTCCAGTGGCCACCATGAGTTCACTGCAGAATTCACTGGTACATCCCCCTCCCCTTTTATTAAGGGGTACAAATTAAGATTACAGGGGAAAGGCTATAAACACTCAAATCCCCTCCTCTTGCACAGGGTCAGACTTTCTCCATCAAGTCTCTACCTCTCCAACAGCACCACCAACTGCAAACCAGTTTTCAAGTCCCTGAGCCTTAGGGGACATTTCTTATTCAAAATTCCACAAGAAAGGATTTGGGAGGGAGAAAATGGCACGGATTTCATCAAAGCATTTTATTTGCTTTTAAGAATCTGTCAAACAAAAATTAATTATAACATATTTATTGAGGATTTACATTACTGGGTGGCCATACATATATGGCCATGTAAATAGAAAATATAAACAAAACTTAGCACATTCTCAAAGACATGCACCTGCTATTGTCAAGCTAAAATATGCTCTTGCACTAGCAGAAAGGATATGAATATTAACACACAAAATCAATCGTTCTATTTACTTGATATGCTTTTTGGGAAAATGTGAGATCTGGATTCATTTATCAGTTAATTAATTTACATTAAGTGTATATATTATGGGTATGAAAGACTAAGACTGGGTAATCAATTATAGAAAGATGAGCAGAAGTATGCTAATTCAGGAGACTGATTAGTACTTAGGAGTCTGAAATCTTCCCCTATTCCTAACACTTTTCAGAATACAAGTGAGCCCTGAGATAGATTCCTTGTGCTGAACACTTACATTGATCATTGTTGTAGAACATTATTTTAAAAAGTGTTACATTTGTTTATGCTGTGGAACATTTGTTTAATGAGGCAAAGATGTGTTGCATTCTTTTATGTTGCATTTGTTTAACTCTGCGAAGCTGTGATGCTTTGCCCGTCTAAAACACCTGATTGATCTAATTAAGAGCTAAACATCAGGAGGAAGGAGAGGTGGGGCTGGCAGGCAGAGAGAATAAATGGGAGGAGAAATCTAAAAGGATAGAAGAGCAAGAAAAAGAAGAGAAGGCTGCTTGAGGCCAGCCACCCAGCCACCCAGCCACCCAGCCACCTAACCAAACAGCCAGTCACAGAGTAAGAGTGAAAGCAAGATACACAGAAGAAAGAAAAGGAAAAAGCCCAGAGGCAAAAGGTAGATGAGATCACTTAACTTAAGAAAATCTGGCTAGAAAGAAGTCAAGCTAAGGCTGGGCATTTATAAGTAATAATAAGTTTCAGTGTGATTTATTTGGGGGCTGGGTGGTGGACCCCCAAAGAAGCTAGTAGTAAAGAGTAAAAAACAACCAACTACAGATCATGACCTTTTCCCATTCAGACTACTGAATAAACCAAATCACCTCTGCTATGGTTAAAACAGCAGGCAAGTCTCTCACACCAGCATGAAAGGAAGGCTGCAATCTGTCTTGCTGTGGGGGAATCTGCCAATCATACCACTTTTTGAAATTCCAATTATTATGGTTTTATAATATGATCCCAAGAAATGTCTATTAAGAGCTCACTAGAAAGGGCATGTTAACTACATCATAGTACTGACATCAGAGAAGTAGCCACAAAGCTCAGGAAGAAAGATGGCTCCTTCTCTCCTACAGACCATAATAAGCTTTAGCATAAAGCCTCATGTCTCAAATACTGATTTGTCAAGCGGGTTACATGTGCAAGAGGGAACATAAGAAAATTTTCCTAGAAAAACACAATTCACACTTACCAGCATCAATATAAAGTAGATGACCACAAGTACTGTTGATATGGCTGCTGCTTTCTCCCCTGCCCCTATAAACAGTGGCAGGGAACTGGCAGAATAAGCCAACATCATGATGGTAAAAAACATAGCGAAGAAACCCTTCACATCTGTTTTCACTCCTTAGAAAGAAAAGAGTGGTGTCAGTTCATCTACTTAATAGAATTATACATATTTTAAATAATACTTTAATAATCAGTGCAACTATTAACAGCTTCATAGCCACCCACTTCTCTTGGTCTCCAACTGCTACCCAATCTTGTGGATGCTGGGAACCAAATTTGGGGACTTTGGAGTAGCAACAAGTGCTCTTAACCAATGAGCCTCTCTCCAGCCCCATCATATGGCTTTACTTTTATACTTGCCACAAAAATCCCTTTCCATATAATACCTGTTCTCCTCTAAACATAATTATTAGCAATTTATAGGATACTGACATGGAGAAAAATTACTGTATTCTCTCACAGGAGAATCAGCAATAGAACACATCCATGTTCACACATTTCTCTGTGTTCATTATAATTGCATTATTAATGAAATTGGGATCAGGACTGTGCCAGTTAGTTTTTATCAATTTAACACAGGCTAAGGTCATATGGAAAGAGGTAATCTCAACTTAGAAAATGTGTTCATTAGCTTGAACTGTAGGCAAGCTTGTGGGGACATTTTCTTGATGAATGATTTATGTAGGAGGTCTTAGACAACTGGATGATGCCATCCCTGGGCAGGTGGTCCTGGGTTCTACAAGAAAGCAGGCTGAAGAAGCCACCTCTCAGTGGCCTCTGCTTCACTTCCTGCCTCCTAGTTCCTGCCCTGACTTCCTGCCCTGACTTCTGGCTGGTGTCCATGTCAGAGGAGTTGCAGGTGTCAACTGAAGTTCATCCCACCAGGAGGCAATTCCCTGATGGGTGAATCTCAGATAGCCAAGGCCCTGAGACTATAGACCCCAGAATGTCTTTTGCGTCTGCTGGGCCTTTACATAATTGCTACTGCTCTCTTTCTGGAGTATTTGGCATGGTGTGGATGGTGAGGGGAGATACCCCACTGCCTGTAATATAGTGTGTTTATCTCATGGAAACATCCTATTCTACTGGGCATTTTTATCTGTGGATTATTATGAAGGTGATTCCTCCCTATGCTGTGCTTTCTAAATGATAATAATAATGTTAGTTTATGCAGGGTTTTGATGGATAAAAATAAATACAAAAAATGTAGGGCCTATGAGTTTCATTTAAGGGGCTGTATAGAATGCAGTTCAGGCTGATGATTAAGGAAAACAATTGCGTCCTCAGGAGCCAGGCTGGCTCTAATTTTCTTAATGCTGAATGATACAGTCACAGATTTTAGGTATGCATCATTAGGTGAAACAAAGCCTTAAAATAACTTCAGGTTAGATCCAGATGTTTTGATGATTGCTTTGAGATGAAAAACACCAGAAAACAATCTAAAGTTTACAAGGACACGTAGCTGAGTTACAGATTCATTGACTTAGGGTCAAGAATACAACACAGCCCAATTGTTGCTAGCTGACATACATTCTTAGCTAGGTTTGGTTGGTGATCAAAGGTGATGAGTTATTCCTTGTGCTGATTTTTGCGCTTAATTTCCTGATATAAGAAATATTGATGAGTGGGAATGCAACCCAAAGATTTAAAGTAGAGTTGACTGATTCTTTTTCATATATAAAAGTTCTGGTTTGTAATTCCTTTAAGATTCCTTATAAGATGACCTTTTAAGGTAAGTAATAAAGTAACTGGCTCTTTCTTTGTAACTGAAAAACTCAGTCTGCCAGAAAAGATCTGACTGAGAAGAATATCTTGCTTGTCTGTGTGGCTAATCTATAACCAGTTACTTGAATATGAATGTACATGGGTTCCTGGAATAATTGTTTTTTACCTGTAATATGTAAAATGTTTAATCATGTAAGGGATATGGAAAACATGCTGTGTATGTGGGTTTTTTTACTGTTTGTTTGTATTCATTGTAATCATTCACTTGAAAAACAGAGTGTAACCACATTGTAATTTTTATATTGCCTGAAAGATTTTGCTGGGGCAGATAAGGTATAAGAAGAAGAATAAAGACAGAGTTATATTGCTAGAAGGAAAACATCAAGAATGACGGAGTTACAAGGAACTAGAAAGGAAATATCAAGAATAAAGATAGAGTTAGAAGGAAAACATCAAGAATGAGAGAAGGAAATCACAAGGAAAATGAAGAATAGAAAATGCAAAAGAAGAATAAAGAGGGGGCCTGAAGGAAACCATCAAAGAGTCTGTGAGTATCTTTTTCCCTAACATATTCAGATAAAAAAAGTCTAGTACGTGCCAACTCTGTGGATTCCTTTTGAGCTCTGTGCTACTAGGGGCTGGCACCTCAGGCAGAATTATCTTCCCTTTGAAGTACATTGGACTGTAAGATGAAATAAACCCTTTCCACTTCAATATTTTTCTGGTCATGGTGTTTATAACAGTGCTAGAAACCTAGCTAAGGCAAGGATTAAATAACCTTGCAGTGGTTTTAATATCTAGAGTGCAGGAAGTGCTTCCAAGTTTAGTTTTTCCTAGGAAATCACCAGGTAACTCTATGGAGGAAGAAATGAGTTCCACAAGCAGATTTGTAATCTTTATGGACCTAATGCTATGAGTCATGCAAAGGCCTGTATTTATAATAGTCACAAGAATACAAGTTATATCCTGGGGGAGCTGAGTTCCATGTCCAATTGTTTTCAATGTTATCATTATTATTATCATGGTGTGTATAATGCTTGTGTGGATATAAGGGTGCTCATATCATGGTGTACATGTGCCATAGTTTGTATGTGAAGCTGAAGGACAATTTTCTGGAGTGATTCTCTCTTCCACTGTGGATTCTGAGGATCAAATTCATGTTGTCAGGCTTGCAGGACAAGAACGTTTCCCATAGCCATCCCATGGCCTAAATGACTGGTTCTGAATAATAAATCTCTTATAAAACAAAGTCTAAGCTTTATCAGTGCTTATCTTGTGTGTGTGTGTGTGTGTGTGTGTGTGTGTGTGTGTGTGTGTGTGTGTGTGTGTGTGAAAAGTATGGAAATTCTAAACAATTAGTCTAGAGTGAAGCTTAACCATAATGTTCAAATGAATTTGTACACATATTTCAAATAACTATTTGTATTACATAATTTCAACAAACCTCAAATTCAGTTTCCTGTCTCTTTGTAAGATTAGGTAGCATAAGACACTGTATACATTTAAGTTCTTTTTCACACATAAATATGTATGAGATATTATCCACTTTTCTGTATTTTATTTACATATGGAGACACTAACACAGAAACAGCTGAGCTAGAGAGATGGCTCACTGCTGTTATTACAGAAGCCCTGGATTCCATTCCCAGCACCCACATGGTGGCTCACATCCTGTAACTCCAGTTCTAGGGGATCTGATGTCCTCTTCTGACCTCACCAGGCACTGCATGCACTTAGTGTGTGCGTACACACACAAAAAAATAAATAAATAAATAAATAAATAAATAAATAAATAAATAAAGTAAAAATAAATCTTTTACAACAAATATGGATAGATATCTAATAATTAATTTTGCTCTACTGGCACTGTCTCAAATGGTTACATTATTACTATATTCATTATAATACACAGAATCTCTAGTAAATACAGAGTTTCATGTAGCATGAATCTTAATGGTACTTATTAATAAAATTAAACCTGAGGCCAGTTATTGGGGTGAACACTGGAAGATCAGAGAGACAGAACAAGCCACAGCTAACCTTACCTGGCCAACTTCTCAGCTGATCCTGTTTCCTCAGACTGGAATGCTGTGGGATGTTCTGTATGGCAAATGTACTGCTCTGATTGGTCAATAAATAAATCACTGATTGTCCATTGGCTAGGCAGGAAGTATAGGCGGGACAAGGAGGAGAATAAAGCTGGGAAGTGGAAGGCTGAGAGAGATACTGCCAGCCGCCATGATGACAAACAGCATGTGAAGATGCCGGTAAGCCATGAGCCATGTGGCAAAGTATAGATTTATAGAAATGGATTAATTTAAGATATAAGAACAGTTAGCAAGAAGCCTGCCACGCCCATACAGTTTGTAAGCAATATAAGTCTCTGTGTTTACTTGGTTGGGTCTGAGCAGCTGTGGGATCGGCAGGTGAGAGAGATTTGTCCTGACTGTAGGCCAGGCAGGAAAAATTTAGCTACACTGGAAGCTTCTGAGTCCTCATCCAGAATGAATCTCAGCTGAACTGTGCTGCTCGAAAGCCTGAATTCTTAACCAGCCAAATGCTGGTAGTTTCTGGTCCTCATGCCTTATATACCTTTCTGCTTTCTACCATCACTCTCTGGGATTAAAGGCTCGCTATTGGGATTAAAGGCGTGAGTCACCATGCTTGGCTGTATCCTTGAACAGATGGATTTCTGCCTCTGGAATGCTAGGATTAAAAGTGTATGCTACCACTGCCTATCCTAACTATCTAGTGGCTTTTCTGTTCTCTGACCCCAGATAAGTTTATTAGGGTACACAATATTTTGGGGAACACAATACCACCACAGTTTCATGTATTATTTTGTAGTATTTTGTGAACAAGTTTTGGAGACTTTCCTCACACTGAACACCTGTTTTAGATGGCACACAGTGGAGACGTGCTTTTCTACTCATGCTTTTCTACTTTAGGCTTGCCACAGTTGTACAAACCAAAACACGCTCCCCCAAGAGTAAAGACACACTCTCCTGCTTTGTCACTTACCTACTATGATGAATACGATAACAGTAAATATAGTACTTGGCAATAGCCTCCTGGGTACCAGCTCAGCCAGCAATTTCCCAAGGAAATATGGTGACACTCTGTAGTATCCACTGGTATGCTCATGTCTGGAGAGACAAAGATCATGTTAAACATCCTTAGATTAGTCCAGAAGACACAGGTGAGATGATGGCTAAGCTGACTACTGTCTTGACAGGGAGCCTCACAGGACAGTGTCCCCTATGCTCCATGCTGACTCCCATACACGTCCCCGTCTTAGGGACCAGCATCCCTAGGCCAGCATCCTTATGACATTCTCACTAGGATTCTCCCCATCAGAGAACTCTACCTTGTTTTGTCCACTCTGATCACACAACAGCCCCTCCAGGTAAACAGCCCAATGTGTCCACTCTCCTCAGAGTCTCTGCCCTCTGAATCTGGCTACCTGAGGAGCAGCTCATTCCTACCTCATCTCACAGAGTGGTCATGGAGGCTTCTCTCCTTCCAGTTCTCATGAACAAGGTGACACTGTCACTCTGAGGTCACAGTGCAGCTTCAGGACACTCTCATTCTCCTCTTCTACTCTCTTTAGGACAGCTAGATACCAAACCTAATCCTTTCCCTTCCTGGCCCATTCAAATCTCAAGTTCTTCCCCTCCAGTGTCTTCATTGTATCTCTGACTTTTTTTTTTTTTTGACACAATGTCTCCAGTACAAGCTGGACTTAAATTCCGTATGTAGCCAAGTATGACCATCCTCCTGCCTCTACCTTGGCCCTAAGAGCTGAGATTATAGGAATACAACCATGCTTGGGGTCTTGTGACAATGTGAATCTAACACAGGGTTTCAGGCACACAAGCACTCTAACTACTGAGTGAGGCCCTCAGCTCCTCTCTGAGGACTCCTCTCCTGGGCATGTACTTGGAGGCAAATGTTGGCCATCATTGAGAACAGTGAATCCTAAGCATAGGCCACCAGGGAAAGTTTCTTCCATGTTTGAAAAGCACAGGAGATAAACAGCTCTTTTCTACACAGCTGCTGTCTGGCTCTTTCCAGCCCTCCATCAAGAGGAGACTCTCATTCTTGTGCAGCTGTACCTCTCCAACTCCAATGTGCTGCCGAACCCACCACACTTTAGCTCTGTGAAACCCCTGACATCTTTCTTTGGGGAGGAGTCATAAATTTCCTGTGATTTTTTCAGTCCCCTACTACTGTATGATCTGTATAATGGAGATCTGGTGACCACACCTCAAATTTGAAAATTTCACTGAGCAGCAGACATCTCTGCTCTTGATTTCCCACCCATTTTTTAGTTAATATTAGTAATCTCATTACATATTTCAAAAATCATGATACCACATGATAAACACAAAATTTCACAATTTGTTTATTTTCATCTAAATATGTAATAAAAAGGGGAGAATACTGGTAATTCATGAAATAACATTCTAAGTCCAACTATGAATGTAGTTCACTTGATCACCAGACCCTGATGTCTGCTTCTGGAGCAGGAGCTACTCACAGAAAGCGGTCCCTGTCAATCTCAAAGAGCTCCCCAGCGGTCACACTAGTGATAGTCTGGAAGAATGTGAGGAAGAAGAGCAGGTTGGCTCTGCCGGGAGAGAATGGAGGCAAAAACAACAGTAAAGTCAACATTAGGATGGTTTCTTTCCCAATACACTTTGTTCTGTACATTAAATAACATACACAGATCTATTCTTACAAAAAAAGGGCAGTGCTGGAGATATGGCTCCGCAGTAAAGAGGGCTTGTTGCTTTTACAAAGAACCAGGTTTGGTTGGCAGCACCTACATGGTGAATCAAAACCATCTATCACTCTAATTCAAGGGGAGCCCGTGTTAGCTAAGTTTCTGTCAATCTGACACAAGCTAGGATTGTCTGAAAGGAGGGAACCTCAATTGAGAAAAAAAAAGTCTCTATAAGATCCAGTTGTAAAGCATTTTCTTAATTACTGATGGATGGGGAAGGGCTCAGCACATTGTGGGTGGTGCATCCCTGACCTGATGGTCCTGAGTTCTCTAAGAAAGGAGGCTGACCAAGCCATGGGGGGCAAACCTGTAAGCAGCACCCTTCCATGGCCTCTGCAGATTCCTACCTAGTTTGAGTTCTAGTCCTGACTTACTTCAGTGATGGACTACTACATTGTGGAAATGTAAGCTGAATAAACCCCTTCCTCCTCACCTTGCCTCTTGGTCATGTGTTAAATCAGTAACCCAAACCAAGACAGGATCCAATGCCTCCTTTTGACAGCCACAGGTCTCAGGTGTAGCACAAATCTTAAAAGGTCTTATTAATAAAAACAAACCTAGAGCCAGGTATTGGGGTAAATTCTGAAAGATCAGAGAGACAGAACCAGCCACAGATAACCTCACCTCACCAGTTCCTCAGCTGATCTCGTTTCCTCAAACTGGAAGCCTCTGTGTCCTCATCTGAATGAATCTCAGCTGAATGCTGCTCAGAAGCCTAAAAGCTTAACCAGGCTCTAGTTCCTGGTTCTCACGCCTTATATACCTTTCTGCTTCCTGCCATCACTTCCTGGGATTAAAAGCATGTGTCACCATGGCTGGCTGTTTCCAGTGTAGCTTTGAACTCACAGAGATCCAGACAGATTTCTGCCTTCAGAATGCTAGGATTAAAGGTGTATGTGTGTGTGTGTGTGTGTGTGTGTGTGTGTGTGTGTGTGTGTGTGTGTGACCATTTTCTGGCCTCTATATCTAAAGGCTGTTCTGTCTCTGACCCCAGATAAGTTTACTAGGGTGCACGATATATTGGGGAACACAATAGCACCACACTCGGGGCACACACATGGTACACAGACATATATGTAGGCAAACACTCATTAACATAAAAATAAAATAAATACTTAAAAAAAGAAAGAAAATGTAGAATTGTTCTGGTTAAAAGGTAAAGAAATATGAGTCCCATGAGTTATTTTCCTCTCTGTCTCCACAGTGGTATCTATAAGATGAACTGCTAAATGGTCTTATTAATATAAAACCTGGAGTAAAAAGTTGAGAGATCTGAGGAATATGATAAACCACAGTCAACCTTACCTTACCAACACCTCAGTCTCCAAAGAGACCTACTTCCTATATACCCACACTTAAATGCCTTTCTGTCCCTGAAATCTCATCTCTCTCTGCCCTGCTACATCACTTCCACTTCCTGCCCACCTCTGTCACTTCCTATCTGTCTGTACAGACCTCCAGACCTTTATGGGTAACTAGTGTTGGAATTAAAGGCATGTGCCACCATACCTGGCTCTGTTCCCAGTGTGGCCTTGAACTCACAGAGATCCAGATGGATCTCTGCCTCCTGAATGCTAGGATTAAAGGCATATGCTACCATTGCCTGACTTCTGTGTTTAATATAGTGCTTGGCTTTTTCTTCTGATTCTCAGATAAGTTTTATTAGGGTGTACAACATATTGGGGGACACAATATATCACCACATTTCCTCTTTTTGTCTAAAATTAAAAAAAAGTTATAACTAATATAAGAAAAACTATATACAATAAGTACAAAAACTATATACAATATATACAAGCAATAAATACATCAGTAATGTCTAGTCCATTTGCATTTGACAAATTCAGAGAAAATATTACATTATCTATCCTATTTTTGTGAATCCAAAGAATTGTATTTAATTTACATTTTATACAAATTTGCAATACCAAAACAATCTTCTGATGTCTTTCAAACTTATACAATTTACACCTCTTTAGTGAGTTTCTTTTCTGAATTTCTTAACAAGGAAAACTATAACTATCTAATATTCAACTCCCTCAGAGACCCAAGAAGGAAATAATATTACCTAGTAAGACAGGAAGTGCAAACAAGCAACTTCCAAAAAATGTGAGAAATGACAGAGACAGCTGGCTGCCTAGACAGTCACCGGAAGTTTCTCTGCAATACCTGGGCATCATCTTTGGCCTACAGGCTTAGCATATCTGACAGACTCATCTGTGAAGCAGGATTTTCTAAAGAGCCTTCCTACCTGTCTTGGCAAGGATCAGCAGTCCTTTGTTTTGTGTCTTGCTTGTCCATTTTGGACAGCATACTGTCAGCAGTTGATGCCAGGGCACTTTCTTGCCCATTGGCTAACTTTTGCTACAATGAAAGTAAATTCCATATGGAGTTTCTTCAATGCTCATCACCTTCTCTGAAGTAGATTGGTGCTACCATGAGCAGACATGTCTCATAGTCATAAAAAAGGGGGAAAAATCTGTTATTAAAACATTTTAAATGCCATATTCTGTAGATCTCTGAAATGTTTGAAGATGACCTGTCTATCTAAAATATATCTCTGCTTGACCTTGAAAACATACCTAATATAACTACAAATTTGATTGTAATGACTAACTACTAACTTTCATTTCTTTATATTCTAGTAGTTGGTAATAATAACTTTTAAGGATTAGCAAATTGCATTATATTGTTAAATGAATTGTATAGGTACAATACCTTGAACAAGCTTAGAAATATATGTACAATATATTCTAAAAAATCAATCTCAAATTTGTATCAATATACATACTTTGTATACAATATACAAAACTCCAATCCAATGTAAAATATTTAAAACTAGCAGTTGCTTTCTAAAAGTAGATTCAGTAATCTACCTTTTTATCTATATCATATCTATATTCCTTCTTTTTTATTTTCAGAGTAGATTCAATAATCTACCCTTTTATCCTATTATTTCTATATCTCTTTTTTTTTCAGAGTAGATTCAATAATCTACCTCTTATCTATATCTTTTTTTTTCGAACAAGAATCCAGAATCTAATTTCCTTTGTTTAGCCTTTTTTCCTGACCATTAACAATAACAGCTTGTAACCAACCATCCTAAACAATGACAATTATCCAAAACCCATAGAATGACCAAAAACCACCCACCCCACCTCTTGGGAATGTGGGCATCTGTGGGATGACTCATCCCTAACAGGCTTGAGGGAAAGATGGCCCAAACCAGTAAAAAGATACTTTCTAAGAGCCAACCTGGGTCTGCCTAAGGGCCTTAGCAACAGCAGCTGAGACATGATCTGGAGATAACCTGGACCAATGAGAGGCAGCCATGTCACATCAGCAGATGCATATTCATCAGACCTCCCCCCAGGGTGGAGTGGAGTGTATATAAGACTTGCCTATTCCTGAATAAACTGAGCTTGTTGTTTTGACATTTTCCCAGAGTCTGTGTGGTTTGACTCTGCCTACTTGGCTCCCTCCCCCAAAGGGAGCAACAGCACAGGCCCCTGCCACATCTGGTGCTGAAACCCAGGACATTTGGTGCTTGAATAAGGTCTGTTTGTCTCCCTTTCCTCCTGTGCAGCACCGGTTGAGCAGCCCCCCTGAGTGGTGTATTTCAGTGAGTAGGTCCCTCTACATTGTGCACTTTCAGTCCCTTCAGTAGGTAAGCACTGGGACCCTCCCTTTTCTTCTTGTTGTGAGTCTGTCTGTATAGTAGAGTGGCACATGCTTTTGTTCAGGCTTGCCTGGTGTTTCTATATAAGGGCTGGTCCTTCAGGAAACAACAGCAACCATCTGACTAATGTTAGAGGTTTTTTTGTTTGTTTGTTTGTTTTTGTGTGTGTGTTTGTGTGTGTGTGTGTGTGTGTGTGTGTGTGTGTGTGTGTGTGTGTGTGTGTGTGTTTATGAGTGCATGCATGTGCTTGTGGGTTATGATGCCTGGAGAGATGGCTCAGCAGTTAAGAGTGCCTCCTACTCCTCCAGAGAACATATGGAAACCTGATCTTTGGATGACAGTTCTGTTCCTGGCCAGGAAAAGGGAAGTGGCCTCAGAAGTAACCCTCCCATTGTTTTTTATGCCCATTTTTTTTTTTTTTTTGGCTATAATCGCTGGCCTAAAGTCCTCTTCTACTGAGGGGATCATTAAGGCCCACAATAAGCACTGTCAGGAACAATGTAACACCAACTTATCTATCACATGCATTCCATCCATGACTGAGATTTCCTCTGCCTCTGCTGACAAGGAGATGGATGAGAATAGGCGTAAAGTAAAGGAGAGGGATGGAAAGAGAGAGGAAATGATTGTGGCAGTGCCCAAGCCTACACTGGCAGCCCCTCTCTCTGCTCCCCTCATCCCTCGAGTGGCTACCCCCCTCACCACTGCAGTATCCACGGAGTAATTTGCCTGGATGTCTGCCTGCCAAGCCAGCTGCTCTGCATACCCCCCATCCTATTCCACCTATGGTTCCGCATATGTGTTTCCAGTTAATGTGGGCCCCAAGGTGGCCAAACAGCCATGGACACCTACGCCTCATGCAGACCTGTCTTTGGTCCATAATACTGCTAATGAGTGGGGTCCTGACTCAATGTATTTTGAACAAGTCACTCAGCAATGGGCAATGCATTTACAGACTTATTATGACTGTCACCATTTGATGAAGGCTGTGTTGGAGCCTGTGGTCTTCCTTAACTGGCGAGCTGCCTATGATGACCAGGCCGAGGCTCAGGCTTGTTTTAATATACACTACAACATCGATGTTTCTCTTGAGATGCTCACAGGCCAAGAACCATAGGTTAACCCTGTCATACAAGCCCAAATTGGACAACACACTTATTAACCT